GGCAGTGCAAGGCCCCCGGGACTCTAGCCTGTGCCTTGACCTGGAGGGCACCACCCGTCGTGTCATTGCGTGGAGCTTCCGAGCGAGGAAAAATCAAGGCGTGGTAGGAGGCGGGTGTGGGCGGGAGTTCCGCTGAGGGGGGTCAGGGGCCGGGGGGCTGGGGGCCAGGGGCTGACGAGATGGTGAGTCGGGAGTTCCTTGCAGCTGCAAGGTACCATCCAGGCCACCCAATCGACTCTGGCCGGTGTTTTCCCAAAGGGCCTAGTTGGGGTCGCTTTGGTGCTAACGGCTCTGATTCCGGGACGATCACTTGTGAAAGCCCGCCGCGTGTCCGCCTGGCGTGGGTTGGGACCTTGACGTGACCTTGGCGTCTCCAAAAAAGCGGACTGCGAGGAGAAAAGCCCGAAAATTCTCTCACTCCACCGACACGTTGCCACTTCATCGCACACAACGAAGCCTACACGCCCGTCTACTGCGTCCGTCGCAAGGCCGTCGGGATAGCGCTCGACTGCTATTTGCTCGATGCTGTAATTCCAGACCTTTCAACTTGCAGTAGTCGGCGGATGGCGTTGGTAGACGTGGGAAGGACAAGCCCGAGAACTGCATGAAAGATTTTCCGCTCCCAGTCTGTTCCCTGTTTTGCATCCCCCCCCCCCTTCACAGGCGCCGCCCACCTGATTTTTGCTTCGACTGCCTTTGCTTGTGCCGGTTGAGAGTAAGGTGTCATCAAACCGTTACTTGAGACCTCAACCAAGCCGCAGACAGACTCATGAAAGTCAAGTGGGCACCCGTGCATGATGACGGAAACGCGACAATGCTGTGCGCCCATGGCTCAAACCGCCATTCGCGTTGATGTCTGGCCAAGGTAAAACGTTCACCAATGGTGGCCGAGATCTATATGTATTGGTCGCCTGCGAAAATCTCTCCCAACGCCGTCGCTAGCATACTGTGCTCTAGATGACTCCTTGCGTCTACCAATGATGTATTGCCACCCGTCACTGCACCACCGGGGTCCTGGAAGTGCTGCCGTTGGTTGACGCCTTTTTGTTTCTGAAGGTGTACAAGAATATGTTTTCCCGACTGAACACAGGCTGATCTTCGTCGAAGGCTTCCTCAACACGGAACCTCTTTTTCGCCTTTTTCATGAAATGCATGTCAGCGCGTCGCCTTTTCCTGAAGCAGAAGTAAATTGTGGCGTCTTCGTTTAGCGCCAGCAGGTCTGACAGTGTTTCCAACAGTAGTGGGAACGCCGGCTCAAAGTACACACAGTCGGCAGCTAGAACGACAGTTGGTTTTGAGTCAATCACGTCTTTTGGCAGCGGTTCGCCCCTATAGCACGCAAGGAGGGATTAGCACCTGTACGCCACAAATCCACGATCAAATCACAATGGCGACGTGAGGCATCTATCTTGTGGGCCAGACGGAAGCAGATCATGCTCATTTCTGTTGGGTGGACGTGGTGATGCGTCAATGTGCAAAGAGGCGAGATGCGTGCGCTCTGCTTCGAACGAGCATGGCGGCGACGGATACGCCGCAGAGGACGCAAACCGCTCAGCAGGATACATCCCCAGCATGCGGAATATCGATTCGAGTAAGCGCTCAAGATGACAAGGACACAGGACGTACCAGTTCAATATCAAAGGCTTGACGTTGGATCCGAGTTCGTTCAAAGCAATATTGTGCTGCATCAAAGCGAACATTTCGTCTTGGTCGGTGAGGAGCAACGGCGACTCATGCATGCCTTGGTGGCCATCGGCCACGGCCCCATTGGCGACAGCCAGGCCAACGAGACCTCCGCCAGCACCGAGCTCCAGTCTGGACAATATGAGTCAGCAAAGTGCTTTCTTTCTGTGGTCCACAGATCCCCAGGTCCCCTACTTTTCTGGCGCGTTATCGACAGGTGGGGGAGCGTGTGCGGGTGGCTGTACTCACATTCTCGCGTTGCCCATTTCCTCCCTGTGGTATCGAAGCATGTGCTTGGCGAGCACCATGCCAGCAGGCCATGTCTGACCGCCACAGCCGGAAGTGAGGTCTTCGTGAAGCTTCAGCGGCGTCGCAAGCAGACCCGATATGTCAAAGTTGGATGTCTGTGCCGCCTTGTACGCCGGTAGTGGTGTGAAGTCTTCTGCTAATGCAAGAGGGGAGAATTCGGGCGATGCCGCTGGATGCAGAGCAGCCGCCAAGGGACTGTCGAGGATCTTCATAGTGGCCGGGGAGAACCGCGATCTATTGTAAATAGCTGACTGGAGTATTGGACAGCACGTCGATGGTGTGCAGCCGTCCTTCTCGAGACGGGCAGAAGGGTGACGAGGGAGATGGTGCGCAAGGGACGTTCTGAGGGACAAACGCACAGCAAGAAGGAAAGGGGGATGGATGGATGCCACTTCCTCAGAACAGACCCTGTCGCGTTTCCCTCGCCCGTCTTCACCGCTGATAGCGCCTTCCTCCGAAGTCCGATACTGACCCTGATGAC